GAACACCTTTGGGTTTTACGCCTACGACACTGTTTGGGTGCTTGCTTCTGCACTCGATGCGTTTTTCGGGAGTGGGGGAACATTGTCATTTTCAAATGATTCAAGTCTAAACATGTTAAGGGGGGGAAGTTTTGAGCTTGATAGCATGGGAGTGTTTCTTGATGGTGAGAAGCTGCTTAAAAGAATTCTAGAGGTGAACAGAAGTGGTCTAACAGGGCAAATGATGTTTGGACAAGACGGAAACTTGGTGCATTCATCATATGAAGTAATTAATGTGATAGGCAGTGGAATTAGGAGGATTGGTTATTGGTCTGAAACATCTGGCCTCCACACTGGTGAGTCTCCTAATCATTCCATTTCTGGTGATGGACTCTATGGTGTCATCTGGCCTGGTCAAACGACTCAAACCCCACGTGGATGGGTTTTTTCCAGCAATGGAAAACCCTTGAGAATTGGGGTGCCACTTAGAATTAGTTATCGTGAGTTTGTGTCAAGAACTGAGGGAACTGAGATGTTTGGTGGTTATTGCATAGATGTGTTCACGGCTGCTCTCAGCTTGTTGCCTTATTCCGTTCCGTACAAGTTTGTTTCATTTGGAGATGGTAAAACCAACCCATTAAATTCAGATCTTCTTCACATGATAACAGTCGGTGTGAGTATCAAGTTTTCATAACCTATCTGATATTTTGTTTATTATAAATTCTTGCATAGAAATTGTTTTTTGTATGTGCAGGCCTTCGATGCTGTGGTGGGAGACATAACCATTACTACTAACCGAACCAAGATAGTGGACTTTACACAGCCATATATTGAGTCCGGGCTAGTTGTTGTGGCACCTATCAAGAAGTTGAAATCCAGTGCTTGGGCTTTCCTAACACCATTCAGTCCAATGATGTGGTTTGTGACAGGAATGTTTTTCTTAGTGGTGGGAGCTGTTGTGTGGATTTTAGAGCGTCGCATAAATGATGATTTTAGAGGCCCTGCCAGAAGACAATTTGTCACCATTATTTGGTAATTAAGTGGCAAGACAATTTTAAAATATGATCTTGATTGTTACACTTGACTACTAGCACACTTCATCAATCCCTGACATCTTGATCATTCATTTCTGCAGGTTTAGCTTCTCAACCTTATTTTTTGCACATAGTAAGTGATTGTAACTTTTTGTTATCTAGTTATCCTTGCTGCTTTCCTCCTGTAGTGAAAAGAAACTCAATTTGTTGAAGACAGTAGACAGAAATATACCTAAATAATCATCCTAAAGCTCAAAGTTGTTGGTTTAAGCCGAAAAATGGTTTGTGTAGATTTGAGTCTTACATCCAGGAAAAAAAACCTTGTATGCAGGAGAAAAAACTGTTAGCACCCTTGGTCGCTTTGTGCTGATCATATGGCTGTTTGTGGTTTTGATACTCAACTCAAGCTACATTGCAAGTCTGACCTCCATCCTGACAGTGGAACAACTCTCTTCACCGATTAAAGGAATCGAAAGCTTAGTAATAAGCAACGATCGTATTGGTTTCCTGAGGGGTTCATTTGCTGAGAATTATCTGACCGAGGAGCTGAACATACACAGGTCCAGGCTTTTTCCTCTGAACTCCCCATCAGAATATGAAAAATCCTTGAAGGATGGAGCAGCTAACGGTGGTGTTGCTGCAATAATAGATGAACGTGCATATATGGAACTCTTCCTAGCCACTAGATGTGAATTTGGTATCGTGGGTCAGGAGTTCACCAAGATGGGATGGGGCTTTGTAAGTATATAAATTATAAATCACTTCTCTTCTGTGAAACTCAACATCACATATACCAAATTCATCATTCATAGTACTAAGATAGGTGGTTGAATAATTCTATAACCAATGTGAATGTAACATACTTAGTGTAACGACATGGATTGAACATGTTTTGAATGTAACATACAGGGCTTCCCCAGGGAATCTCCTTTATCAATTGATATGTCAACTGCCATCCTTAAACTATCAGAAAACGGTAATCTCCAAAGAATTCATGACAAATGGCTGACGAGAAGTGCGTGCAGCTCAGAGGGTGCAAAACAAGGCATAGACAGACTTGAGCTAAACAGTTTTTGGGGTCTGTTCCTACTCAGTGGCATAGCATGCTTCATTGCTCTACTATGTTATGCTATTAGAATGGTTTACCGTTTTAGCAGAGACTCCAACAGTAACATTGAGCGCTCATCTCACTCTGATCGTCTCCGATCGTTCCTTTCCTTTGTGAATGAAAGAGAAGGGGAAGACACATACAGGCCAAAGAGGAGGCGAAAGGAGAAATGCTCCTGTAGAAAGGTAGTGCATGAAGGTGGATCTTTGGATGACTCAACTGTTAGTGTCCACATAGAAAATAATCCCAGTGCACAAGATTAACTACCGACATCTATAAGAGTCTTGTATTTCAATGCAGCAACATAATACTAAATATGTTCATAATGAGCACAAAGGTTCTCGATGACTAAAATTTTTTATCATTAAGGATTTTTCCTACTGTTTTCTTAAATATGTGAATGTCTGACTATTGACACGCTAAAGATTAAGTGACACATATCTACTATCGGCAATTAGGATAATATGAGATTAATCTTGAATCAATTATTTTTAGAAATAAGCTCCATTTTATCAATCAATTTTCAGACCAGGTGAATGGACTTTTGTACCATGATCCCACTAATGTTGTAACAATTTTTTCTAGCCATTACTATGTGATGGACATGGACATACATCAATAAATTCCACAAATGCTATGTGTTTTAGATCATCAAATTTGTTCTCTTTGATATTACATTAGCATAGTTTAAGAGTTTAAGAGAGTGGAGTTTGAAATTGAAAAACACATTACAGAATTCTCGTTATAATAACAATAGTTGGAGGTTTCCTTATTTCTATTTCTGCTTTAAGTTTACATTTATTATTAAAGCATAGTTAAATACATTTGTCTTGTTTTAATCAGTTTACCTTTAAGATAAACTAACATTGTGTTTAAAAAATATTATATCATTTTCTCATTTACTATACTTCTTAGTGTCAGGTAAGCTAACTCTATTAATATTCACCTATGAAAATTGACTTTATAAACTTCGCTTTTATATTTTAAGTGTCCCTAGTTTTTGGGACCAAAAAAAATCTAATTAGCTTTGGTTTTTTCTTGTATGAATTGGCTTTTAGTCAATTCCAATATACATTTTCTCGTAATGTAATTGAAACGACTCCAATTATATAAATAGTTACTTGCTAATTTTAAATAAAAAGATTATTTAATTAATTAGTAATTTCATAAGATATATAATTTAGATTTGTTGAATTTAACTAAAAGAATATTACCCTTTAAAAATGGATAAAAAGTAGTATTAGAACGTCATTGATTGTCAGTAACGATTTACCAACATAAACAAATATTTTTCGTTATTATGAAAATTTTCTTTACTGTTCAAAGGTTTAGGTTTTTGAATTCTGCGTTGATTCACTGAGATTAACAAAATAAAATTTTAATCTTGCTGCAAATTTAATATAAAGCATTATTATATTGAATTAAGTTTTTATAGATTTTTTTTATTTTATTTGATTATGAAGAAGATTATTTATAAAAGTAATGTAATTTTGACACNGGCTGGAACAAAGTGAGCAAGGAAAAGGATCCTGCTGAGGGTCCTTTCGCATTGAACACCTTTGGGTTTTACGCCTACGACACTGTTTGGGTGCTTGCTTCTGCACTCGATGCGTTTTTCGGGAGTGGGGGAACATTGTCATTTTCAAATGATTCAAGTCTAAACATGTTAAGGGGGGGAAGTTTTGAGCTTGATAGCATGGGAGTGTTTCTTGATGGTGAGAAGCTGCTTAAAAGAATTCTAGAGGTGAACAGAAGTGGTCTAACAGGGCAAATGATGTTTGGACAAGACGGAAACTTGGTGCATTCATCATACGAAGTAATTAATGTGATAGGCAGTGGAATTAGGAGGATTGGTTATTGGTCTGAAACATCTGGCCTCCACACTGGTGAGTCTCCTAATCATTCCATTTCTGGTGATGGACTCTATGGTGTCATCTGGCCTGGTCAAACGACTCAAACCCCACGTGGATGGGTTTTTTCCAGCAATGGAAAACCCTTGAGAATTGGGGTGCCACTTAGAATTAGTTATCGTGAGTTTGTGTCAAGAACTGAGGGAACCGAGATGTTTGGTGGTTATTGCATAGATGTGTTCACGGCTGCTCTCAGCTTGTTGCCTTATTCCGTTCCGTACAAGTTTGTTTCATTTGGAGATGGTAAAACCAACCCATTAAATTCAGATCTTCTTCACATGATAACAGTCGGTGTGAGTATCAAGTTTTCATAACCTATCTGATATTTTGTTTATTATAAATTCTTGCATAGAAATTGTTTTTTGTATGTGCAGGCCTTCGATGCTGTGGTGGGAGACATAACCATTACTACTAACCGAACCAAGATAGTGGACTTTACACAGCCATATATTGAGTCCGGGCTAGTTGTTGTGGCACCTATCAAGAAGTTGAAATCCAGTGCTTGGGCTTTCCTAACACCATTCAGTCCAATGATGTGGTTTGTGACAGGAATGTTTTTCTTAGTGGTGGGAGCTGTTGTGTGGATTTTAGAGCGTCGCATAAATGATGATTTTAGAGGCCCTGCCAGAAGACAATTTGTCACCATTATTTGGTAATTAAGTGGCAAGACAATTTTAAAATATGATCTTGATTGTTACACTTGACTACTAGCACACTTCATCAATCCCTGACATCTTGATCATTCATTTCTGCAGGTTTAGCTTCTCAACCTTATTTTTTGCACATAGTAAGTGATTGTAACTTTTTGTTATCTAGTTATCCTTGCTGCTTTCCTCCTGTAGTGAAAAGAAACTCAATTTGTTGAAGACAGTAGACAGAAATATACCTAAATAATCATCCTAAAGCTCAAAGTTGTTGGTTTAAGCCGAAAAATGGTTTGTGTAGATTTGAGTCTTACATCCAGGAAAAAAAACCTTGTATGCAGGAGAAAAAACTGTTAGCACCCTTGGTCGCTTTGTGCTGATCATATGGCTGTTTGTGGTTTTGATACTCAACTCAAGCTACATTGCAAGTCTGACCTCCATCCTGACAGTGGAACAACTCTCTTCACCGATTAAAGGAATCGAAAGCTTAGTAATAAGCAACGATCGTATTGGTTTCCTGAGGGGTTCATTTGCTGAGAATTATCTGACCGAGGAGCTGAACATACACAGGTCCAGGCTTATTCCTCTGAACTCCCCATCAGAATATGAAAAATCCTTGAAGGATGGAGCAGCTAACGGTGGTGTTGCTGCAATAATAGATGAACGTGCATATATGGAACTCTTCCTAGCCACAAGATGTGAATTTGGTATCGTGGGTCAGGAGTTCACCAAGATGGGATGGGGCTTTGTAAGTATATAAATTATAAATCACTTCTCTTCTGTGAAACTCAACATCACATATACCAAATTCATCATTCAAAGTACTAAGATAGGTGGTTGAATAATTCTATAACCAATGTGAATGTAACACACTTAGTGTAACGACATGGATTGAACATGTTTTGAATGTAACATACAGGGCTTCCCCAGGGAATCTCCTTTATCAATTGATATGTCAACTGCCATCCTTAAACTATCAGAAAACGGTAATCTCCAAAGAATTCATGACAAATGGCTGACGAGAAGTGCGTGCAGCTCAGAGGGTGCAAAACAAGGCATAGACAGACTTGAGCTAAACAGTTTTTGGGGTCTGTTCCTACTCAGTGGCATAGCATGCTTCATTGCTCTACTATGTTATGCTATTAGAATGGTTTACCGTTTTAGCAGAGACTCCAACAGTAACATTGAGCGCTCATCTCACTCTGATCGTCTCCGATCGTTCCTTTCCTTTGTGAATGAAAGAGAAGGGGAAGACATATACAGGCCAAAGAGGAGGCGAAAGGAGAAATGCTCCTGTAGAAAGGTAGTACATGAAGGTGGATCTTTGGATGACTCAACTGTTAGTGTCCACATAGAAAATAATCCCAGTGCACAAGATTAACTACCGACATCTATAAGAGTCTTGTATTTCAATGCAGCAACATAATACTAAATATGTTCATAATGAGCACAAAGGTTCTCGATGACTAAAATTTTTTATCATTAAGGATTTTTCCTACTGTTTTCTTAAATATGTGAATGTCTGACTATTGACACGCTAAAGATTAAGTGACACATATCTACTATCGGCAATTAGGATAATATGAGATTAATCTTGAATCAATTATTTTTAGAAATAAGCTCCATTTTATCAATCAATTTTCAGACCAGGTGAATGGACTTTTGTACCATGATCCCACTAATGTTGTAACAATTTTTTCTAGCCATTACTATGTGATGGACATGGACATACATCAATAAATTCCACAAATGCTATGTGTTTTAGATCATCAAATTTGTTCTCTTTGATATTACATTAGCATAGTTTAAGAGTTTAAGAGAGTGGAGTTTGAAATTGAAAAACACATTACAGAATTCTCGTTATAATAACAATAGTTGGAGGTTTCCTTATTTCTATTTCTGCTTTAAGTTTACATTTATTATTAAAGCATAGTTAAATACATTTGTCTTGTTTTAATCAGTTTACCTTTAAGATAAACTAACATTGTGTTTAAAAAATATTATATCATTTTCTCATTTACTATACTTCTTAGTGTCAGGTAAGCTAACTCTATTAATATTCACCTATGAAAATTGACTTTATAAACTTCGCTTTTATATTTTAAGTGTCCCTAGTTTTTGGGACCAAAAAAAATCTAATTAGCTTTGGTTTTTTCTTGTATGAATTGGCTTTTAGTCAATTCCAATATACATTTTCTCGTAATGTAATTGAAACGACTCCAATTATATAAATAGTTACTTGCTAATTTTAAATAAAAAGATTATTTAATTAATTAGTAATTTCATAAGATATATAATTTAGATTTGTTGAATTTAACTAAAAGAATATTACCCTTTAAAAATGGATAAAAAGTAGTATTAGAACGTCATTGATTGTCAGTAACGATTTACCAACATAAACAAATATTTTTCGTTATTATGAAAATTTTCTTTACTGTTCAAAGGTTTAGGTTTTTGAATTCTGCGTTGATTCACTGAGATTAACAAAATAAAATTTTAATCTTGCTGCAAATTTAATATAAAGCATTATTATATTGAATTAAGTTTTTATAGATTTTTTTTATTTTATTTGATTATGAAGAAGATTATTTATAAAAGTAATGTAATTTTGACACAATTAAGTATTAATATTAAGAAGGCTTAAATGTTTACTGCTTTTCCACTCTCCTTTTTATAGGAAAATTTTTGTAACCGTCAATGCATCTTTACCATAAAAAAAATTCCCACGATCAACAGTTCGGATGCGAAGACGCCCCAAACCCATTTTCGAAAATTGGAGGGCGGCAGGATTTCAATAGCTTGGAACCGGTAGTCAGATGGCGCACTCACTAGCACAATCCTCGGCCAAAGATGAACAGTCCGCGAAAGGCACTCCCATACCTGCAATCAACATATCAGTCAGCTTTCAACCCAACGTCCACTATGTGCACTAGGACTTGGGGGGCTTGTGTACCATACGGGCCAGACGGTCCAAGGAAAACCACGTAGGATCACCCTAACCGGACGAGTCCCTAAGACCGGCCGGTTGCTTATCTGGGTCATTAAGACCATGATCAAGGTAAGTAGCGATTAAAGCTATTAGGCTGAAATTGGACCGTGATTAACTTTTCACTAATCCTAAGCCTATGACAAAAACTATAAATACAGGTTAAATGTGAGTGATAGGTACGTTGTATTTACTGCACATTTATTACTGTTCTATTGAATTGTCGAACAGTTCATCTTTGACAGGTTTCCTTCCGGACAGAAGAGCAAGACAGCGAAGCTTGGAGCGAGACCGAACAAGAAGAAAGCAAAATTGTGAAGGAGTTTGGTGAGTCAGCCTCATGACCGAAACAAAAAGTTTGCATATTGAAATATGTTGGCAGGAATTGAGATCGTCCAAGTTTATTAACAATTTTATTTTTAAAAAAATAAAATCATGAGACTCTAAGTAACATTAAAATAGAAAATATCGTAACTGTTATAATTTAATAATGTGAATGGAATTAAAGTAATAAAATTAATTAAATTTTATGAATTATAATCATAAAAGAAAAGTTGCTCGGTATTTTTGTGCAATTTATCATGTTGTGTGGAAGAACTTATTGTGACGATGAAGTTACAACTTTATAAAAGATTCTTTTAAAAGTAATTTCTCTTTTTTAAAGAAAAAGCATTTTTTTTTTCTCAAAAAAGAAAAATATTTTAAACCTTTTTCCTTTGGTAATTAAAAGTACTGCCGGGGTGTTTGTGCGATACACAAGCCATATTTGACAATAGGAACATTTCGGTCCATAGGATTCCTTAGAGTTCGTGGCTCACGTTAATAATTGAAACCTTTATTAAATATCTTATATTAATTTTTTAAGTATTTAAAATATTTTTTATTTTTATTTAATTCATTTTTTATTTGATTATATTATTAATTGAATGGTGTAAATTTTATTTTTGTTTTTCTAACTCTCTAAATGATCTATCAATCCGTCTAATTCTTGTTTCTTCAATCTCACTGAAAAAAAAAAGAATCTTATCATCTTAATAATAAAAAATAGTAAAATAAAAATAAAAATAAAAATATTTTAATTACTTAATAAAACAAAAATTTCTATTAAAAACCCAATTATAACTAAGTAAAGTTACAAGACAATTAAAATTTAATTAAGTGATCTTTTGAATTACTTTCTAAATTTAATATCCACAATAGGTATACTCTTAAATTCGGTGTTATATATAATTAGTTCACAACCATGTGTTTCGCTAGTATTTTATAAAACGATTTTAATTACATTTGAAAAAAAAAACATTTAGATGTTTAATTTTATAACAATATAATTACATTCATAAAATTTATATGTTTTTATCTCGTCCAATAGTTTAGAGCTGTCAACCCAGCTCGACTCGGTCCGGCCCATCACAGGTTGATTACTCAATGAGCCAATCCAACTCGGCTCACTTTTTAGTGAGCTAAAAAAATTCGAACTCAGCCCAACCCACCATGAATTGGTGGGTTAAACGGGTTGACTCACCGACTCACATAATTATAAGTTTTTTTTTAAATAAAAAAATTTATAATTTTTTAATTAAAATCTAAATAAATTTACTCTAAAATAATGTTAAACTTCAAAGACAATTCAAAATAAAAAAAATATCATTAAGCATAATCTAAAAATAGACACACAAAAGACGAACAAAAAAGCTTTTAATATTGATAATTTTTGTATCACTTGTCTTAAATAGATAAATCTATAATATTTTTCTCTCTTGAAACATCATTTTTTTAATCCCCATCTACAATACAATAAAAAAATGCTAACTATTAATATTGAAACACAAAATAATAAATAATTAAATTAAATTAGGTGGGTTGGTGAGCCAACCCGGCTCACCAAGGGTTCAACCCGATGAGCCGGGTTGAAAACTAACCCGCTTAAAAAAATTACATTTTTTTCAAACTCAACTCGGCTCAAACCCGTGGTGGGCTGGATTGGCTCGCGGGTTACAACCCATTTTGACAACATTAAGTCTAGCGTTACTTAGAAGCTGAGAATAAAATAATTTAAATACTTCTTTTATCCTCTGAGACACCTTTTAAACACAAAAACGTAAAGGAATTCACTTTCTAAAATGAACAATATCTCGGATGTATGATAATTGACCATAACAATATCACTTGACGGACTTGGAATCAAACTTAGGATCACCATGCATCCAATGTATTATCCGTTTTGGAGCTGGCTTTTTATTGTTTATACACCTATTTACACTTTTGTTAAAATGTGATTTGTGATTCCAAAAATGTTTTTTTTTTCTTGAAAAAATACCATATTTATAAAAAGAGTCAAATATGTTTTTACTTTCTAATTGATAAAAAATTAGAATTTAATAATTTTTATACAATTTGATTTTTAAACTTTAAAAATTATAAGAATAATTATTTTAATTTAATTCTATTATATTTTTTATGTAATAAACAATATTTCAAGTTTGTGTTTGAAACATAAGTTTAAACTCAAATGTTAGTTTGAGATACATTTAACATGTAAAAAAATTGAAAAACAAATTGAAAAAAATGGCAAATTACCCTGTTTGCAAGGAATTGAAGATATTTAACAAATACAAAAGGAAGTTAAGACACCTTGAGTGATTCATTATTTATACACTTATTTATTCTCTGTTTACACTGATTTTTTTCTTCGAAAAAATATAATATTTATAAATAGA